GGGGCTGCCCGGCTCCGCATCCGCCCGGTCACGGGCACCTTAGGCACGCGCGGCCAGGCTGCTGCAGTGGTGTCAGCATCTGGGACAGCACAGAGACTTCAGACACGTTGGCCAGGGGGAGGGAGGACCCAGCTGGCCCTGGAGGAAGGGGCCTTCTCCACGAGCCGGTGACGGTGTCCACTGGCCACAAGAGGACATGCGAGGAATCTGGGGAAAGGTTGGCCATATGGAGACCCTGTGCCAACTCCTACAGAGCTACATGGGAGCCAAGACGCCTGGAAAACGCCGGATGGTCAGGGCTGGCTCTGAGGGCCTGGCCTGGAGGACCCTGGTACCAGGTCTCACCTATCAGCTCCAGGAGGGGCTCGTCTGCCAGCAGTAGGGTGAGAGAGACGCCGGGCATCTCCAGGGCGGACATGAAGGTGCCCACCAGTGCACGGGCAATCTTCACCTTGTGGCCCTCTGCAATGCCAACGTGAGGTGGGTGTGGGCGCTGGGGACAGGCATGGAGAACCCGAACAGGGACCCAGTGGGCAGGCAGCCCAAGTTCCTCACTGGCCCTACAGGTGCAGGCGCTGCCCTGGGTTCCTGGGCCGATCCATCTACCCAGCCACTGGGCAGCGCAGTGACTCGGTCCTACTCTGGGCCACCCCAAGACCCTCCCTCGACCCCTTCTCATGCCCAGCTTGGTGGGGCTAGGGTCCCCAACGTGGGCTCACCCAAACAGCGGACAGCAGCATCAGCCACGATGCCCAGTTCCAGGAACGACAGGCCACCCAGGTTGTTGACCATCAGGACCACAGAGGAGCCTGCGGGCCAGTGAGACACCCATGAGACCTGCGGGGTCAGGTGGGCTGGCGCCGGGAGAGGCAGCCACTTACCTGGCCGCACAGGCACCTGGGACACATTAGAGGCGTCCGTCATGTGGTCCAGCATGAGTGCAACGATCTTGTCGGCGGTCGCCATCTGTTGTGGGGGAGCAGAGGTGAGTGGCATCGGGGGCCTCAGCCTCAGGCTGGCCTGGGACAGCTGTCACCTACCTGGACCCGGCGCACACCTGCTTCCCCGTGGATCCCTATGGAGAAAGGCGTTCACAGTGGCCTGCCAGGCCCGGGAACCAGCTTGTCATGTCTTAAAGACTAGGTGTGCAGTGCCAGGCTAGACACCGGGGCAGGGCTGGCAGTAAACAGGATTAGATGGTGGGCACAGCCAGAGTCCTGGCAGCTTTAACTAGAGGGAAGCACGAACGCCCACACAGACTCACAGAGGAGGGGGACAGCACCATGGCCGTAGCCAGGTGACCCTGAGTGCCCTGGAAAGGGAGCTGCACCTGGGTGTGGGGATTTGGGCAGGGATCAAGCAGGGTGGCCATGCCTGGCCTTGAGCACCCCTGGTGACCAGAGGCCACCAGCTGCAGGTAGGCACAAGGACCCGTGAGGAGGCTCCGGCCTGGGACGGAGTGCGGCTTACCCAGGCCCAGCTCCACCTCGCTGGCGGTGAGCTCGAAGGTGGGTCTAGAGCCCGGGACACTGCACGAGGACAGGCTCACACCCAGGGTGCCTAGGAGGGCGAGATACCCAGCCGTGGTCCCTGCAGCCCCTCCCTCCCGCCTGGACTGGGAAAGCCCACTTGCCCCCAGTCTGACTCACCCATGGCCTTGGCGACCTCGCTCACTCGCTCTGTGATCTCCGCCAGCCCCGCGCCTGCCTCAGCCAGTGCCCCCGCCACCTGCAGCAGACGGCCGGCCCCGTGGGAAGGAGCCCCAGCCACGAGGGCCAGGAGGGACCGGAGGGACTCACAAGCTCTCCACGCCCCACCTGGTCCCGGCCTTCTGTCTG